TAATTTTTAACTAAAAATTATTAATAATAAATATTATTAAAAAAGTATAAAAATATTATTCTTATATTTATTTAAATTCTTAAATATTTTTCCATTAATTTAAAAGTTCACTGAAATTTTTAAATGATTAATATGTTAAACATGAGCAAGTGATATGTTGTTGCAAATTTTGATTTAGATGTAGATGATGTTAAAGTTGTGACAAACCATAACCTATAATTTAATGATATAATAATCGGTGAAGATGATATACATGTTGCAAAAGTTAATGAAAATACTTTTTAATGTGCATGACATGTTATGTTTTGCAATTTCATGAAAAAATATTAATTATGTGTCGGTGAAATGTTCTTTATTGGTGAATTTTTTTTTTAATTATTTAGTTAAAATAATTCTTATAAAATCAATTTATTCACATAATTTAAATTTGTAATTGTCTTTAGATATTATTATTATTTTTATTGAAATCACATTATTCAATAATTATGTAACACGTGGCTTGAAATATAAAGATATTAGAGATATCGTATAAAGTGAATGAAAATAATTTCAAATAAGTAAGAAATTTAGAATTAAAGGAAGATAATGTTATCCTTTTAAAAAATAATTTTAATATAAACAAAATGCACATAAAATACTACCAAAAAAAGATACTACTAGCATTTTTTAATCTTAATTATCCTGTAAATCTTTTTCTATCCACGTAAATTAACATAATCATATTCTAACGTTTTCATGTCATTTACTTGTTTAAAGATACAACTTTGCAAAAAAACAACACCCAAAAATTATAAAAGTAAAAATTATGTGAATACTTTACGGTAAGTTTATTTACTAAGTAATTTTTAAAAAAACACTATCAAACAAAGAACATTTAGCTTGCAATTAATATTTTTTTTCAAAAAATAATAAAACATAGCATATCACGGCACATTGAAAAACATACTTCTTAATATTTACTACATTTATATCGATTTATATATCATCTTCACCAATTATTATAACATTTATATGCAAATCATTAATTATCACAATTTAAACATCATCCACATCTAAATTAAAATCTATCATAACATATCACTTTCACCTATTTAATCTATAAATAACAAACATAATAAATAATTTAATTATAAAGGAAATGAAGACTCAAATAAAAACACTTTTCGATCAATAAATTATTATGCATTTATTTTTCTTATGTGCTTTTAATCTATAGCTATAGAAGAAGAATAGACGATTGAGGTAATACTTAAACAAAAAGGTGAATATTAGGAGAGTTAAAGAGAGATGTCACATTTGGAAGTTGCAACCGAGGTGATTAAGATGAATTAAGAAATGTAAACCAAAGAAGAGCAAGATTGATTGAAGCAGTCCCTGCATTAATTTGAAGAAAGCAATGAGTAAGGGAGAAAAAAGAAGAAGAGAGGTTTAAAAAAGTGCTTGGGAGTGATGTCGACATGATTAACACTGGAAATCCACGTGGCTGATCTGTTGTTCCCTCCATAAATATTCGCATAAAACCATTCCTTCCAATTCCCATTCCCATTCGGAGCACACAACTTTGGGAACGTGTCACACAATTCTCGCCTTCTACGAATATGGCATCGCGCGTCAGCATTAACAACATCGCCTCCTCCGCACCGTATATTAATTCCCCTCATTTTCGGCCACCCCCTAATATTCCCAACTCTTCACTGCAAAACGCTGCGCATAAGCTCATGCTCCACAAAACCGTCCTTGTTACCGGCGGAGCCGGTTACATCGGTACCCACACCGTTCTTCAGCTTTTGCTCGGAGGCTTCAGAACCGTCGTCGTCGACAACCTCGACAATTCCTCCGAGCTTGCCATCCGCAGAGTCAGGGAGCTCGCCGGTGAATTTGGGAATAACCTCTCCTTTCACAAGGTGCTCCTTCTGTTGCCTCTTTCGTCCAATTTCGATTCCTTCCCTGCCTTTTTCGTATTCCTCCATTATTTTGCTTCGTGGCTTTTGCTTTTTCTGGATTCATCATTTTCTGGATTTAGGTTTAGATTTTTAATTCGTTCCTGTCAGATTTGTGGAATTTTGGGATTACGGTGACCGGTTAATTAAATTTTACGTGTGTGTTTTACCGTAATCTGATTTGGTGATATGTCGGTTTCGAATTCACCAGAAATTTTCATGATGTACTTGTTAGATTTGGTACTTTTGTTAGGTCCAATTCGGTAATGTTCTAGAGTGTTCTAGTGGTCTCGGTGATGTCTAATTTGTTTCACAATTTTTTTAAACTCAAATTTATATGATTTTTAACTCGTGTGTCCTGGTTTTTAACTCAATTTAGATGATTTATTTTGCGTTGATAATACAGTAAATTGTTTATCTGCTTGGTTGCCGACTATGGTTATGATGTTCACATCACTGCTGATTTTGTATGTGCCTTTTCGAATCTACTGTCATGTCTTCTTTACAAATATTCTTGGCAATAGCAACCATAGATGCCAATTGCTTAATTTTATATCTTGTTGTTTAAGTGAAGTGGAGAATATTTTTAATTAGTTTATTATGGATTTATTTATGGTGATGACCGACGCTTTTTGTTATATTTTTTCTACTGCAGGTGGACCTACGGGACAGAGATGCACTAGAGCAAATTTTTGGTTCGACACAGTAAGGATTGTAAGCTTCCCTCTCAATATTAATTATAGGCAAAACATAAGTATTTGACCAAAACTCTAACTATAATCAAAGAATAATATCAATTATAATTAAAGAATTGTAACTAAATTTTATTGATAATTATATTTGCCGAAATCTTTGAATAATATTTGCTAACACCTTTTGCAATTTCATGGTTACAGGGATAAGTTTCATATTATAACTATTCTAGGGTGGTTCTATTACTAATGCAAGTTTCTAGTATTCTATGGATTTCAATATCTATATTAGGTTTTATTAGAATTTTCAATATATTTAAAGTTTTCAGAAAGCTCGTGGTTTTATTAGATTTCAAAAAATTGACTTTTTCTTACAAATACAATAAGCTTCCCTTCTATATCTATTTATTAATAGAATTAATCACTTATACACGGTTACTGTAAATTTTTTTTACAATAATAATTAATTATATCTTTTAATTATGTCATATTACTGTTAAAAATAAATTTATTTATAATAACATAATATAATTAAAAAATATAATTAATTATTAGTGTAAAAAAAATTTATACTCTCTGGTATGGTTGGGAACTGATTAATGAAAATAAAAAGTATGGAAAGAGGGAATGGTATCTGAACTAACTAAATATGCACAAGGTAGTTGGCGTAAGTTGCATTTATTATTGCAAGCTACTACGGCTTCTACGGTGGGAAATCGTCACAAGTCTCCTATAATGAGAAACAAAACGTGGCCATTGGATATATTATTATTTTAGTCAAAGATATAGATTTTTTTTTTAATTTTTAATTTTTCCCTTTCATTTCCTAATCTGCCCTTCTAGCATATTTGTTGTTATTACTTATTAGTAATAATTAATGCATCTCCCTACACATTAATAACCATTACCACTGTAATTGTCGTGCTTGTCCACTGGGGTGTACTACGGAAAATCTCAACCCTTCACTTAAAAATTAATAAATCTAACGTTCAGAAACTAGTTTCCCACGGTGGGAGGCTTCACTGCAAGCTATATCATATGTGCCTCTCCCCCACTCAGTTTGTAGCGGTCATCGTGTCATCCACGTAATAGTAAATTCGATGCGAATAGAGTGAGTCGGAAACAATCAAATATGTGATTTAGTGACAGGGGTTGATTCACCTTTAAGCAAGATCAAAAGTTCGAATCCTATCTTATATATGTAGTTCCGTTAAATTTTGAGACCAACTATCCAATATAACGAGATGGATACTTAAGGACGAAAAAAAAAAAAGTGTCTGAAAGAAAATGATGCAGAAAATATTCCGTCAATGTTTCGTACAGCTTTTCTTCTTCACAACTTTAAAATTTATTTTAAAATTAATGTTTAAAACAATAGTTTTAAAAACAAAGTAAAAGTTGTTTACGCAACATTTTTTTAGCTTTAAACTTCTAAAAATAATTATAACGCTTTATTTTTTGTGTCACGTCAATTAGTGCGTACGAAGAAGAAGACTAAGATGCGAAACTTATTTTAAAATCTTACTTTAACCAAATTCTTTTTTTTAACAAAAGAAACTACTTTCCCTATTTTCTTTTTCTAAAATATAAGATATTTGATTTTTTAGAAGCTTTTTTTACATGCATTTGACTTAATTTCTCCTTTCAGGAAGAGAAAAAACTAGGAAAAGGTTGAACCAAACACTACTAACCAAATGCTAAAACTGTTCACGAGAATCGTGACCACGACAATTGCAAATTGCAGCGGTGAATATTGATTTGTGTGCGAGTTTCGTATTACTCCAAAATGATAATAAATCTTGTAGTGAAGAGTATCTCATGACTCGTAAGTAACACTAGTGAATTGTTATCTGTAACAACTAACAAATTTTATGCTCAATGTGCAAGAATCAAAATATGAGAATTGAGAGATGAAGACTAATAAACAAATTAAGTGTATGTTTGTTTTATCGTTAAAATTTAACAAACGTACGTTAAACGGAAAAGATAAAAATAGTTATTTTTTATTTTAGTGTTTTGAAAAGTATATTTTCACGTTTTCGTTAGAAAAATGATTTTCCAATTACTCTCTAAGTTTTGCTTGAAAATGATCAAAATGTTATTAGATGAGGAAAAATTAATAACAAACTAACAAATATCATAATATAAAAAGGTCTATTATAATTATAAAATAATACATATCAAAAAAGAAAGAAAAAAAATCAATCAAATGCCCATTAGTAGGCTAAAAGGACAGCAACCATGAATTATTTATTTTATTACGCGCGTTCATAAAAGTACAAACTCTAAACGAGTTTTGTTTTTGTTACAAACTCCAGCAAGTCTAAAAAGTGGTACATAATAATAATGAAACAATATATCAAGCATCACCTTATATGGCCACACTGTGCAGAACAACAGTTTCAATAGTAAGACCAGGTCCAAAACCAAACAACACACCCCACTCTAGTCCTTCACCTGTGGTTTTAAGCCCATCTTTTGCTGATTTCCTCCTCATCTCATCCAAGATGAAAAGCACACAAGCACTTGACATGTTACCATACTCACTGAGCACTTCCCTTGTGGCCCTCATCTTTTCAGGCTTGAGAGCCAACTTTTGCTCAACTTGGTCAAGAATTGCTGGTCCACCGGGGTGTGCAATCCAGAAAATGGAGTTGTAATCAGAGATGTTCAAAGGGTTGAAGGCCTCAAAAAGTGCCTTGTCAATGTTCTTAGAGACAATCCCGGGAACGTCTTTGAGGAGGTGAAACGTGAGGCCAACTTCACGAAGGTGGCCATCAATAGCACCATCACTGTCTGGAGCAATAGTTTGTGCAGTCCAAACAAGCTCATACAAAGGCTTCTCAACCTGTGGAATTGGGTCAGAACCAACAATCACTGCAGCCGCACCATCTCCAAACAGTGCTTGCCCCACAAGACTATCTAGGTGAGTGTCACTTGGGCCACGGAATGTGACAGCAGTGATCTCAGAACACACAACAAGCACACGTGCACCCTTGTTGTTCTCAGCCAAATCCTTGGCCAAACGAAGCACCGTGCCACCAGCAAAGCACCCTTGTTGGTACATCATGTACCTCTTCACATAGGGGCGAAGTCCCAAGAGTTTGGTGAGTTGGTAGTCAGCACCAGGCATGTCCACACCACTTGTGGTGCAGAAGATTAAGTGGGTGATCTTTGATTTTGGCTGCCCCCACTCCTTTATAGCCTTTGCTGCTGCCTCTTTCCC